GGAGCACAAAAATGAAAACATCGTATCCATAGTCAGTAAAATCGCCGAAGTTGTTTCTCTAAAGTTACAAGATACAGATGTATTAAACTGCACAAGGGTTGCCCGCAAAAACAAGGAAAGTAAGACCCCCCGAGCCATAGTCGTCCAACTCAGAAGTACTCGATGTCGTGATGAGTTTTACTCGGCGGTCTCGCGATACAACAGATCACATCCCAAGAACAAACTCGGATCATCACTGCTGAACTTTAGTGGGCCTACCGTTCCCATCTACGTTGCGGAGCATCTGTCCCCGGCTAACAAATCGCTGCATGCTGCCGCTCGAGCCAAAGCCAAGGAGTTGGCGTATAAATTCGTGTGGGTGCGCGGTGGACGTATATTCATGCGGAAGAATGAAACATCGTCTTTCATTCATGTCAAGTGTCAAAATATGCTAGACTCTTTGAATTAATGTTTACCTTACTTTTTTTTTTTTTTACCTCACTGTTTACGCACCAATACATGTAACTTTGTTTTATTTTTTATGATGGATAAACTGTCGGTATTTTATCAAAACATCAGAGGTACCAAATCTAAAACCACTGAAATAGCTAATTCAATATTAATAAACAATTATGATATAATATGTCTGTGTGAGACATGGCTCAATGAATCCGTGGATTCTTCCGAACTGTTTGATGAGAGGTATATTGTCTACCGTAAGGACCGCTCAGTTGAATTTACTTTAAACTATAGCAAAATAAACCTGTTGAAACAGAAACCTGGCAAAAAATACAGATTTCATAAAACTAACTTTCTCGCATGTAATTCAGATCTTAGTGAAATAGATTGGGATCAGTACGCTGACTTGGGGTGTGACAACTTCGTACAGGTGTTTTACAACCACGTTTGGGAAATAATAGAAAAACATACTCCAATATCTAATTCGCAAAATTCGTGGCCCACGTGGTTCTCCCGTGGATTGATTAAAATATTAAAAGAGAAAAATAAATACCACAAAAAGTTCAAAAAATACAACAATCCACGCGATTTCGACGCATTTACTGTACTACGATCTAGAGCTAAAAATGAACTCGATAGGTGCTATAAAACTTATTTGGAAAGAACTGAAGAGAGCATTAAGTGNGTACTACGATCTAGAGCTAAAAATGAACTCGATAGGTGCTATAAAACTTATTTGGAAAGAATTAAATTAATACCTACGTATTCTGTGATTTATGAAATTATTAATTTATAATGGTTTAAAAGACGCTTACTCGTTCGTCACAGGGTTGTATACAACCTACCTTTAAGGTTGTATACAACCCTGTGAGGAACGAGTAGACGTACAGGCGACAAACAATGGAACCTCAACAATAGGGGTACCTTAAAGGACGTAGCACACTTATTAACTCGGAAAGGGATCGTAACCGTATCAGCTCGAGGCGGTCAGTATTCTTTGTATGAAATATGAAATTTCGCACGGTAACAGCGATTGACAGCGCGCGAAAGGCGATACGTTGTTGATCCCTTTCCGAGTTGATAAGTCTGCTATGACCGTCACTAAGGAACCCTAAAAGTATGCCCACTAATGCAATGAATTAGTCACATTTGTAAATATCAACGTAACGAGTAGATTTCCATTCGATCCTGAGCAAAATATTTGAAGTCCCCACGTACTCCATACATCTAGGGCAGGGATGGCGAACCTTTATGTATCAACGTACCACTTTTCTAAAAAAAATGTTTGACAAAGTCATAGACGTGCTATCAAAATAACACCTAAAAATGCTATCAAGTACAAGTGACAGGACCTTACTCTACAGTGGCACTAACTGATAAGGGCAAATACCTTTATTCAAAACACATTATTTACTATTTATTTATTTATTTATAGACTTTATTGCACACACAACAATGTTTAGTACAAAAAGGCGAGCTTAATGCCATACGTCATTCTCTACCAGCTGACCTTGAGCAAAACAGAGATATTGAGTAGGCGGTGCTGAAAAGCTACAAAAATGTACACAATATAATACATAAAATATTATAATATATATATATTTATACAAAATATACAGGGTGTTTCTTGTAAGGTGTCAAGCCGAAGGCAGGTGATAGGTGAGGACTAGACCTATCGATTTGACCCCCATGTATGTTCTACGATTTTTCATAGTTTAGAAGTTATCGTCAATTTTGTGATTTTTTCAAATTGTATGACCCAGTAGGCTTTAAATTTTTGTATCTTTTTTTTGGGTCGACTTTTCTCAGATTTCTTTTTTTTGACAGATTCCCTATTAATTGCAGATTTTTGAAAAAAATAATCAACTTCCTATCTTTGATGCAAGATACAAAATTTTTGCTAGAAACATAAAAAATATGCTATTAGCGGAACATTCTAAAATTTTNCACATTGGTTATACACTCTAGTCTTCAGGCATTGAGGTAATTTGGACGAAAAGATTCGGTTTGTAAAAGAAAGACTGGAAAAGTTTTTGTTTAGTTCTCGATTGGTAGAAGAATTATTCTGGCTAATAAATAAATAACATGCAACGAGTAAATATTATCGATGCAAAAGTAGCTCTCTATCTGGGTGTTATGTTGGTAGTTTGCTACATTTCCACTTTTCCACACCTAAACCTCAGAACCAATTTGATAAATTGTGGTTGGTAAATTGTAATAGATTAAGTATCGAGATAATTTTGACATTGGTGAATAGCCTTACGTTTTGACGAATAAAATCATCAAGAGGGTGAAATAAGTGAAACGATTGTTTCTCTCAAATTAGGGATACGAAAAGTTACAAATACAGGTGTAAGAAAGTAAAGAAAGTTACAAATAAAGTTACAAATAAAGTTACAAATACAGACAGTTTAGATTTTATTAGTAATTTCAAAGGCGGGATACGCCATGGTATTTCAGTTTCTGACGCTATAAAAGCATGAAGTCAAGCGATGCGTACCTGAATAGAAATTAAAATTGACCTATAGCCCTGACACAATATCTTCGACTGCTTAAATAAGCTGCTGCTGATTCGACACAACATCTATGCGCCAAAAATACTTTTATTTACGTCTATAAGCTTTAGCACCAAAAACAAAGTCTTGACCGTGAAATTGCAAATGGTCTTTACTCTGTACTGCGATTAATTGGGTGAGAATTATTTTCGGCAAACAAAGACGTATTAATACAGTCAGCGTCATAGTTCGTGACACCCAAAGTCGCATAAGTTCGCAACACTTCTTTGTTACTTAGAATAGGCTGACAAAGGTAACTGAGTTTCTTCCGCCACTTCTTCTCAGCACCAGCCCATATGCTATCCCGAAGTGGTGGTAGAGCAAGCTATAATTATTTGGAACGTGTTTAATAGCCCTAGAAAAGGCTGAAGTAAGTGCTGAATAAAAGCTTTGACTTTGAATAAGATTGTTTGTCGCCTTTTTGCCCACTTTGGGTTTTACGACCTATTTGACGCTGACTGTACAGACTTCACAGCACATCAGATTGCTGCAAATTCGCTCCTATTACAACTGCATAACATGCAGTTTACCTTGAATTAACGTACAACATCACACAAAAAGCGCATGAGTAAAAAGAACAACAAAGGAGTTTTAATCCTTTTGAAGCTTATTTTCCGCTCACAAAAAGAATTTTAGGTCATTGTTTGTAGTTTTACAGTTTTGTGAATGTATTCAAACCTTTTGAAGATAATGTTATTTTCGTTTCGCTTTGCAGCACTTATTTCTGGACATAAAGAATTTGTACGGTCTGCATTCTGCATCCAAAGTGGATGCATATATTTTTGACAGAATAATGAGTCTTACGTCTCAAGCACAAGTCTCAAACACAAACGCAACAGAAATTCGTGTATAATCCCGATGCTGTTCTAAGAAATCTACTCCTTGGAGTGTAGACTCATTCTTGAGTATCGTTTATATGATGTTTATAGTCGACTGCAAGTCTGCCTAGGTCTTGTTGACTACCTACTTCAAGGATTCCCTATTCGACGAACAAAGCGTCCTTCGTCAACCGTGGCTTGACCACGAACAAGACAAATTGTGCTAACTATGTCATTCTGCCAACAATGGTTAATCCTGAATAATCGGAAGCCCAATCAGAAACATGATTCATTGTTCACATCGGATATGTATGAGTAGCTCAGATGTCTTGGATTTATGTCCCCCGATACTTACAAGTTGTGGAATCTGTTTGCACATTAGCACGTGCATGATACATAATGTTTACGGACGTATATTTTCTTCAGATAAACATAGATCGGTAAAATAATTTTGGGTTGGCATTAAGGAATCGTTGACCGATGTTGTCGTCACCGGCCCTTCGCCGCGTGTTTAACAACAAAGCAAGCTGACTGACTTTCCACGTCTTTACGAACTGTTATATGAAACGTAGATATAAAGTTTAAGGTTTTAGGATACCACGAAAACCAATTAAATCTACAAAACTACTACGTTCGTAGCGTTGGTTACGGCATCTCTTAACTTACAAAGATATTATCCAGAATCTTAGGAGATAAAAAATACGGAGTAACAAAGATTGAGAGAATTGCTCTTTCCAAACTGCTTGTTGGAGATCGAATAGTTGTTTCATTTACAGTTTATATAAAAACTAGCTTTCCGCCCGCGGCTTCGGCCGCGTGGAATTTTGTCTGTCACAGAAAAACTTTATCGCAGCGTCCCTGTTTCAAAAAGCGGGATAAAAACTATCCTATGCAAGGGCATAGGGCATCCCGGGAAAGGTCCCGGGACTCAAACTATATCTATGCCAAATTTCATCAAAATCGGTTCAGCGGTTTAAGCGTGAAAGCGAGACAGACAGACAGACAGAGTTACTTTCGCATTTATAATATTAAGTATAGATTAGTACAGATAGTATAGATTCGAAAATCGCAACCATTCTCCGAATTCTAAATAACAAGGAAGAAGTATAAGAATCCCATGCGTTTGGTGCAGAATTGGGATTCAAACGCTTCAGAAATGCCTTCCTTTGGTGTTGATGATAAGACATACCTTCTATAACATATTCGTCGAACTTGACAGTGCCCTCGGTCTCCAGCCGGACCGGAGGCCGGAACTTCTCCAGCAGGATCCTGACGGCGCCCTCGCGGCCGTGCCGCGCGGCCGCGATGAGCGGGGTGCATTTCACGCCGTCGCAGCAAACGTCCTGGAGACAAGAAGATATCATACTACCCACACATCATAGCAACAGTGAATGGCCTTCAATATTAAGAGCTCCTGCAAAAACTATCGGCCTACAAAAGTCTGTGCCTTTAGCATGAACAACTTTCGTCTTCGAATCGTTTGCGTATTCGACAAAATTCGATACTCAACCTTCGTATTAAACGATAACGTGATAATTTTAAATCTCAAAATAAGTTTCGTGCAACCATTTCTCATACTAAGTTCACTAATCACTATACGACACGATCACAAGGGCGCTGTGTAGTTTTTGTACGAAATCTTTTGACGTTTTTGAGAATCAAAATTGTCACGCGTTTAATTCGAAGGTTGAGTATCGAATTTTGTCGAATACGAAAAGGATTTGAAGACGAAAGTTGTTCATGCTAGAGGTACCTAGCCTACCTATCGAGGCTCGTGACCCGCATTTTTGTCCAGAAGCACACTAAACAAATAAAGTGGTAAAACGAAAACAGGACAAAATTAACAGTAAGCAGAACAATTTCGTAACTATGAAGCCTATAATAATAGGACCGCACTCAGCACCACTCAGCACTTTGTCACGACTACAAAATGTAGACCATGACTCAAAGTTCAAATTGCAAAAATTACTTTAATAATATGTAGACGTTGATTTTGTTACAACAACGTCAACAACAATGATGCAGTCTCTTACTTTAATACGATGCAGATTTATTAAATAGGTATTGCATGACTTCTTAGTACATAATTTGAACCACATTTTCACAAACAAATCGCAAGACTGAGAGAAAATATTACGACACTGTAAAGACTAACTAAAGACTGACTATAAGAAACAATTATCAAGAGCTTTATAATTTATAATAAACAAAGGTATTTTAAGTGCGTACTCAAGAGTACCTACTCAGTGAAATAAAATAAACATAGATAAGGAAGCACTCGTTTCAATATAAAGTCAATCTAACAGTTCGTATAAAATACATAATTATTAAGCCAGAATATGTCGTGTCATTGCCACTTCATACAAAATTTTCAGCCAATTTATAAATAGTTTGTTGTGGCAGAGGTTGATGACATATCATTTAGGTACTTGCACATGCATTTGGTAAGGTTAGGTTTTTCACAACAAAGTCTAAAAATAATCATAGTCCAGATTTTTAACTGATAATGAATGCAAAGGAAGATTTTTTTATGTGTTAACTTAAGGGTTTTCTTTCAACATAACTATGGTTTAAAACTTAAAACCAAAACGTAAACATTTTACAAATTAATGTAGTTTTTCTATGCATTTAGCCATAAAACTGCTTAAATTTTGAAAAATTATTAATTTATTAAATAATCGTATTTTTAAATTTTACCCATGTTTTTAAATAACTTTTACATTTTATAAATTTTATGTACTACGTAAATTATAATTATTGTCTCCAACGTTACAATATACGTTTTTGGAAATATTTATTTATTATTAAGATATGGGATGTAAAAGCCTGAAATAAAGACTATATTATTATTAATTTATTATATTAAATGGTCAACTATCATCATAACATCTTTATTTTTCTTCTTTTGTCAAAGCTAAGATTGAAGGTATATGAAAATATTTCAATTTATTAAAGGGAACCAAAGTTTACATTTTAATTTCTCATACTTTTTAAAAACCATTCAAATTTATTAGTTGCTGCAACATTTATTCAGAATAAAAACAGTAGGTACATCAGATCAAAGGTGACTTAAAAGGAAGTGGTGGCCAGAGAAAATTACCTAATCAAACACATTGTGTATGATCATGTAAACAACGCATAATAAATTGTTTTATACGCACACGTTAGATTATAGCGCGCAAAAGGTAACATAGTGATTTGAAAGTTATAAATAGAAATATCATGAGAACTTTATGAGATGACAAAACGCACAGTATTTCAGACTTCCTGGCTTTGTCAAATATGATCACGAGTACTTACAGTATTTAGTATATCGTCGATTTCGTCTGTACTTTTCTCGTACAATAAAGCGTACAGAGTTAGAGACATCCCATCTCTTGCTGCGAAAAACACCCTTTCTCTCACGGTGCTCGAAACATCGTCCATCATCAGTTTATCCTCCATTATTTTAATCACAAACGTAGACACTGTTTAGAGAATCACTTTAAAGTGTTTTATTTAGTCAACGCATAAATAATAAAATGCGAATTATCGTCAGCAATAACACAAGACTATTTTTCTCAATGAAAAATGAAAAACTAAAAAATACATCAGCGATCAGACATTACAGACGTCTCCCGTGTTGTTGTGACTTTTGTGACATGAATGAATGATGAGAATGTCTCCAACTTCCTCATTGGCCCTAGAGCAATTCCAAGTATACCATCAATAAAAGCCTAATTAGAGTCATCAAACATCTCAGTCATTCAATTAGAGCCATTAGAACTTCATAACTATGAGTTATTTTCTATGTGTAAGCTGAGGACACGTGTCTCCAGCTGACACATCTGTATCTTCGTAAATATATATGCTACGATAATGTATTATACCTCAAAAATTACAGTCGAATCCAAATAGTAGGCTTTCTTCTTTTCAAGACTTTAGCTCAAATACTGTTAAAACCACGATCAAAAAACTTTATGCTCGAAATTGGGCCTTCGACGTAAACTACCTTCCTACGAAAACAGACTTCTCTACTTCAAAGTGAATACACTGCAGTGTAGACGTTCTATACAGGATCTAGCTATACTGTATAAGATTGTTAACAATCATTATGATGCCATGGATTTATTGAGCCATTTATCACTTAAGACGAGCGGTAGTAAGAGAAGGTTGAAATTATTCTGTATTCCTGTTTGCAGCAACAATGTAGCATATAATAACCCTCTGTTTCGAATGTGCAGATTATATAATGATAATGCCACCAATTTAGATATATATTTTCAAAATTTCTACTCATTTAAAAAATCAATTGAATTATGCATTAAGTAAGTAAACGTAGCCACTGATATTTAACCTGTTCAAGCTCCATATCTTAATTATTCTTTTATAAATGTTGTGTGCAACATTCATAGGAATATAATTTAAATGTGAAACCTAGTTAAGTTATCATTGTAATTTTATTGAATTGTATTCTGTGGTTGTGCCTTTAAATAAATAAATAAAATAAATAAATAAGCTAATCCTAAAATTAAGAAAGAAGTGCAGTGGACCCTTAAGAATCGTTAAAAAACAAACATGCTTACTTACCTTTGCAGGCTCGTACAACAGCAATCCGCCTCCAAACCTACCTAGACAAACAAAAAAACATTTAAAGACAAAATCAAAGACATCACTAGCAAAATGTTAAATTGTGGTATTGCACATGAACATGGAAATTAAATCAATCAGTCATCATTTGAATAGGTACTTTTCCTCAGGAAGAATATGTTTAGGTAAAAAACTCGCAGAGCTGATGGCCGCTGGGGCAGAAAAGTTCTCGAGTGGCGACCACGAGCCGAAAGACGTAGTGTGGGCAGGCAACCCACTAGGTGGACCGACGATCTGGAGAAGGTGGCAGGAGATGCCTGGACGCAGGCAGCGTAGGACCGGTCGTTTTGGAAATCCTTGGGGGAGGCCTTTGTCCAGGAGTCGACGTCATTTAGCTGAAACACACCTTGAAAAGCATACTTTTCATAACTCCTAAGTTCAAACATGCAGGTTACCTACCTTTGCAGTCTCGCACAGCATCCAACGCCGTCAGTCGCCACCAGCACCAGCCTCGTGCCTCTTCTTCAAATATCTAAGTAGAAAAAGAAAAAAGATTTTTTTAAGATCAATCCTTCCACAAATAAGTCTCATGGTAATTGTAAATGGGTGTATGGAGAAATTTCCAAGCTAAATGAAAATGCAATTTAAAGCTAACTTCGTTTAATATTATTTGAATTGCAAATACGAAATAAATAGAAATAATTTATTTGCTCACCTACCTTTGCATTCTCGCACAGCAATCGAAGTCGCCACCAGTCTCATAGGTACCGGCCTCTTCTTAAAATATCTAGAAAAACAAAAAAAAATGAATAAAAAATAAACAAAGAAACAAATCTTTCACTGCTCTAATAATAACAACGTTATTTATGTTATGAAATCAGTCACTCATCATTTTTGTACACTTTCTCAGTAAGAATGGGTGTAGACATGTAGAAAAAAACATTAACTTAAAAAGTAGGTATAAGTTAATAAACATACTACTCACCTTAATTTACAGTCTCGTTAAACTATCCAACGCGACGCCGTCAGCCGCCACCAGCCTCGTGTCTGCCTCTTATTCAATATCTAGAGATAGAAAAAACATTATAAGATACCTTACTTACTACATCTTTACACAAATTAAGTCTCCCTAAAAATATTTTCCCACCATTAGAATTGGGAAAATTTTCCAAAATTACTTAAAGGGCTTGATGGACAATAAGTATAATGAAGTATATGTGAAGTTGTAACTTAAAACTCCTAACGAAATCCTCGCACGGCTATCCGACGCCATTGTTCACCACAAGCCTTATTTATTTAGATTATTCTAGACAAACAAAAAATATTTGAAGACAAAGAAAAAAATATTTTACTCCACTAGAAATAAAATCAAAAGGCTTATGACAGGTACAGATCGCAATGGACAAGAAGTATCTTACCGACATAAAATTAAAATGGTAAAATACCTACCTCATGAGCACAAAATGCTTGCATTGTTACAGAAAAACATGCTCACCAAAATTTGCATGGGCGTGCCCTATCGAACAGCAATATTCGCCATCCATTTTCTTCTTCAGGTCTAAAACAACAAAAACTTTTTAAAGACATAAAAATAAGCCAACCACCAACCAACAACACGCAATAGAAAGAAAACGCGTTTATGGACTGCGATGGAAGAATGACCTACCTACTTTTTATGTGTATAAAATTGCAATGTAAAAGGTTTTCGTCAAAAATACTACGAAATCGATTGCGGTGTGAACATTACGAACACGAAATGCTCATTTATTGATAATTGCTTAGGTATTTTAGACCAAACTTTAAAAAATTACAATGCAATTAGTATTTCACCTACCTTCATTTTATATCGGGTGTGCCGAAAATAAGAACTTCCAGATTATTCACATTACCTACGGAAGAACTGTTTCACAAATTTTAACAAAAATTAAATGATGATTGCATTTAAAATGAAAAAACAAATGACGATAGATCGTACAAATTAATTAATTTTTAAAACACATTTTTATAACGGCCAGTGCAACGAAAGAGTTCGGCAGCTAGGTTCCATCGACCAATAAAATAAATAATATTTTATAATTTTACGCACACATCACAATAATTATGAATCCAAATAATGTAAAATAATACTTACAAATTGCTTCGACAAACCCCACGGTAAAATACAATAATTTCCCACCATTACGAAAAATCAATGGCCACAGATTACGAAAAAAAAGGCGCACGAAGCAAAGACAAAAAAACTTATACAGCCAACTAAGTCCCGGTAAGTAGGTTTTTTCAGCCGCTTTTAAACAAAAATTAACATGTTTAATCATTTGTGATAATAATAATTTAATTTTAAACTGTGACCTATGTAGTGGCTACTATGGAGTATTGAGTAAGATAAAAATAAAAATTATAAAAACAAACAACTTTGTGTAAGAAAATCTTTTTAGCTAAAAAATAGGTAGTATTTGCTGCACATCCTAGCAACATAGAAAAATTTTCTCTGCTAGCAACGAATCCTTCCTCCCCAAAATTCCTATGCCACTATTTTTTTTTTCACAGCAGTTATATTTTCGTTTGAAGCAAAGGCATTCTATGCAGCTAACTTCTGAAATATACGGACCAAATTAACGATGCATTTATCTGCATTATTATTAACTGTAAAGAAACGGCAACAACTCGCAATGGAACTCGCGATAATGTCTCAAGTTTTTTGAAAAAATGGCGAAGGTTTACTACATCAAAAGTGTTAAATAAAAATGTAACACTATTAATCTACCGTAGTCGAGGCTTCGAAGGTCACAAGGGCGTTTTTAATCGGGTTTTGATTGAGCCTCAGACAGAAGATGATTAAGTATCAATGAATCCAATAATGATTGCTTAGGTACAGATAATTTTGAGGAGCAGTGCCGGCACCTATTACCTACCGTGTTTAGGCATCCCATTTTGTGTTGATAAACCGACACCACGTTGGGCGCCAAAATACAGCTCATGGTAATATTTTATGTTTTTATAGGAAATTAGGGACATAAGGTAGTAATACCTTAAAGCTTTACTTTCATAGGACCGTAAATTGTGTAAGGATGTTGTTGGTAGATCTTTGTCAATAAAATACAACTGTAAAACAAAAAATAGAAATAATTATCTTTTACTTAATTCATTCAACGAACTTCATTTTCGTATTCCTTGTTTATTTACCTACCTGTAATAAATATCCAATAGAGGGTCCCAAAGGTACTTATTGTCCTTTATTTTAACAAGTAGGTAGGTAAAAATAAAGGGCCAAACGGAGTAAAAATCTTCCCGAAACAAAGCAGTTTCGGGGAAACGCCGAAGCCAGTGGCTCAATGAGCGATCAAAGAAGCGATTAAGCAATTAATACAATAGGTTCCTTTTCTGTGAAAAGCGAACCTATTAAATTATACAAAGTAATCAAGCATCACATTTTATACCATAACCTTTCGAAGCTGGTTTTTGCTGAGTTATGTACATAATAAATATTTTGATTCGGGTAGTTAAAGGTAACCTACCTTCATTATTTAATTTAAATAGGTACCGATGTTAATCTAAATGTAGGTATAATTTAAAAAAATACACTGAATAAGTAAGTATGTAGGGTAAGTATTCCTATTTTTTATGCAGGAATTTTTAAGCGCTTTGTTATCTCTCTTCATACGATAGAAGAAGAAAAATCACTTCTAGTGAACTTTCAAGTCCAGTCCCATCCCATTGTAAAGTTCTAGTTCCCCCATTTTGTACCTAGCTTACTTTCAAAACTAACGGACGCCCGGACAGACGCCGGAGGTTAAACGCTTACAGGAGTACCCGCAGCGGCCATTAATCTAAGTCTACAGGACGTCGAATCCGTAATTAAGAAGTTTATCATAAAGCAAAAAATTTTACATCGGGAGCGCCACGACCTAAATAACTCGGTAGAGCCGGGGCTTGATCGACAGCGGGCTTGGCAGTTGGATATTATTTACCATCTACACTTCCGTACCGCGCGGGAATAACTTGACATGTCATTTTTGCGTACTTTTCAGGGGAGCGATTTTAAAGTTTAGAGTTCTCTGGTAAATCGGAATTAATGATAATTGATATTTTTATGATTGAAATAAGCTAATTTGATGCGTATCTTTCGATTGGCGTAAGAATTTGATTAAATTATCTTCTTAATCTATTAAAAAAAAGACTTGTCAAGTTGTGTACCGACGACTTGTCAAGTTATTCACCAAAGAAAAACAAACTTTTGACTTGTAAAAATTAGATTTAAGTTAATTATTTTGAATGAAGTTTAAGTAAAAAAACAAAACATAAAAATAGAACATATTTTTATCACTTTTGCAATGAAATAGTAACAAATTTATTAGAAAAATCAAATATAATCGCAGATTATGATTGCTTTTGATCAGATAATTGTACGTTTACTTAAAATTAAAAAAAAAGACAAATAAAAGAACAAAAGCCATGCTTCATAACAAGCACAATTAATTTTAATTATTTTAGGCTTACCATTAAGCTTAAAATAATTAAAATTAACTGGATATATTTTTGCGTAAGGTCGACACGCCCTTTCGCGTCCACCGTCCAGTTCACGTCCAAATGATGGATCACTCTAGAACGTAAGCTATTGCTATGATTCCCTGAATGTATGACAGGTAAACCCACATTAAAAAAATCTTATAGCATGCTACCGTTTTTGCCAAAAATAAATCCCACGTGAGCAGGTGCGCGTTTCAAGGTAAGTTTTTAATATATTTAGGTCTAGTTTGGGATTTACCGCAGTCTCTAAGCCTTAACCATGAACCATACAATACGGATAATGATATCGGTGATTGTACTTTATTAAATGACACTTAAAATAAGGTGGATGCGAATTTACTACAATGAAATTTCCACTTTGCGTCAGAAGTGATCGCGGTCTGGTCTAACTGGGTCTAAGATATTAAAATATACAAAACAATGCATGTTGTATATTATTTAAAACGTTATTTACATGACTTATCGAACACAAAGATTTTTTTCAGTACTTAGGCCTTTTCCTGGACGCTAATACACGCTCCAAATGTAGCTTACCCTTTGTGATAGCCAATTTGCGTCCACATTATCACGACAATTTTTTAAATACAGACGTTGTAAATAATATTAAAAAGCAAACTGTGCCTAGAGAGGAGACCATATTGCAAATTGAGCCATACTATTGAAATTTTAAAAAATGAAATAAACTAAAATATAAATGTATGTTTATAATTATTAAGTGTGATACCTAAATATTTTGAATACCGATTAGTAAGATTTTATCTATATTTTTTTATTTCCATGCTGTTATTAATTATTAGTGATTTTGAATGCATTTTTTCTATATTATATTAATATTACAAAGATATTAAAACTTCTAATGGTTTAGAGCAAGTTTAATACTATACTTATAAAGACTAAAGGGAGCATAATGACAACAATTTTTCGTTCAAAATGATTACGAAAAATTGTATATTATTTTTATTCCTCAAATCTACCAACTCACTAAATGGACGAGATCTGGCGTATCGACCCTACTTACCTCATCATTATTCCTAATTAATGTCATTGATGTCAATAGACTATAAAAATATCCGGAAATTAAAGTTGACCTAAAAGTTTATTATTAGATTTTTTACTTATATTCGGTTGTCAAACGAAATCTTAGTCTGTTATGAAAAAACATTAGTAGATAGTACCTACCTATTGACTAAACTTATCCTTCTACTTTCAACTTGCTATTTAAACGTTAATTTAGTTTTAAACTATTGAAAATAGTAATAAAAGTAATAATTAACGCTTAAATATATTAAAAATACATTTTCAGGGGTTGCTAAGTAAAAAATATTTAAAGACACTCGAAATCCTGACAATGTTATATTTTAAAAACTGCTAATGACACATATAAAAATATGATTATACGAATGTAATAGCTGGATAACTCCAAATATCCAAACTCTTGACAGTGTGCATAACTAGACAACTGCACATATCATGGATATGTTTAGTACTCAGAGGGGATCATAACTTGATAACTGTTTTTGTCAAATTAAAAACGAAAATCCATAAATGTATAAGTCGAGATATTAACAAATACATGTTCTGACATACATTGATAAATCGAAATATAAATGTTTGTACGAATAATATTAATTGGATATATCGTTATGTCAAATATTTATTGCCTAAATTAGAGATATTTACTTATGAACAAGAGCTGTATTTCAAGTATTTTTGGGTATTTCGAGTTGAGTTTTTTATACCAGAAGGGTATAAGGTAGAGGAAACTTTTAAGCTAATAAAAAAAAAAAGTGCAGGTCGAGATGTCAAGTTATTCCCGCGCGGTACGGACTTAATATTATAAATGCGAAATTAACTCTGACTGTCTTGCTTTCACGCCTAAACCACTAAACCGATTTTGATTAAATTTCTCATACACACAGTTTGAGTCCCGGGAAAGGACATAGGATCGTTTTTATCCCGGTTTTTAAAACAGGGACGCGCGCGATAGTTTTTCTGTGACAGACAAAATTCCACGCGGGCGGAAAGCTAGTTTCTCGTAAAACGATGCAGCTTCTCTCGCGTTAAAAACTTAAGAGGTGCCTAACTACAGTAATATTAAGTACCTACTTACTCATAGCATACAGGCAACTTCTTTTAACTATGGGGTTTGCAGTCACGTAATCGAAATCTGTGCTTCCATTACTTATCCTGTTTCAAATTTTACATTGTAAGTAGGTAGGTACTGCACTTACTTATTTCTCACAGCACAGCCGTTGCAATCTATTCAATCTTATAATACCTTAACAAAATGATACCTGTGAGAATCATCGCAATAGATTCACAAAGCGAAAAAACGTAGGTAAATGAAGTTACTTTGTCAAGAGGGGTAATCTGTCACTTTCAGTGAAGCCCCGTCTCTCTTGATGTTATTTTAATTTGACCACTTCTGGCCATGATGAATGCGATGAAATTAAAATTTTAATGTAATGCCTACTGGAACGCTAGCCAGCCATCCAGTGCCGCAGCATCTTAATCCCGACTTGTAATTGAGGAAAACCATAAAACAATGGCACTGCTGCCTGCATTCTCCTTGGCTATGAATATTTCCATGGCTTTAACAATGTTATGTAGTAAAATCGTACAGAGGTTTATGTTTTGGTAGGTATGAAAAGGGGAAGCAATGATCTATGGCGTTGGTACCTATCAGCTGTGTGGGTACCATACAGAGCTGTAGAAGAAAAATTCTCTCATAGTAAAAGCGAGTCAAATCCTCTTGAGTCTAGTACAGATTGTAAATTCATATAGGACAATTTATTATAATATCTTGCAAATCAATAATTCAGATTCTGATAGAAACTATATTTATAAGTACGATAATTTTCTGGTTATAGCAATGTTACTCAAAAGTAGAGTGGATAGATCATCCAAAATTAGTGCATTTATGTATGAGAAGGTTACCTATTTTTTATCTTAGATTATACACTTGCGAGCAAAAGTATGGAATCACTTACATGAAGTTGTTTCCACGCGATCTTGTGTACAAACCAATTTGTTAATAACAAAAAAAGTAGCACCATTTTAAAGATTAAACTTTTAACTTTAAATTGATACCAAATTCATTTAAATCACACCAGTGTTTAAAAAGATATCCCGGCTGATGTAAAGAAGTAAGGAAAAAGACATGTATCAACTGTTTGATACGTCGCGAGTTGCGGCCTATTTACCCCCCATAAAAGCAAGTGTTTTCGGATTTTTGCTTTCACACGTTGATCCATACACATCTCCGCTTATTTTGACACTTTACCTGGGATTCTACACCTTCAGAAGCAGCACAAATCGTTGCATTATTGCAAGAAGGGCTCAGCCAGAGGGCTGTCGCACGTCAGCTCCACATAAGCCAGTCCTGGGTTTCGAAAGTTTTAAGACGCTTTCGGGAGACTGGTGGCTTTATCCCGAGACCAAGTTCTGAACATTGCCGGTGCACATCGCAGAGGGAAAATCGTTTTTTCATGTCAACTTCTCTACGAACTGGCTGAGCCCTTCTTGCAATAGTGCAACGATTTGTGCTGCTTCTGAAGGTGTAGAATCCCAGGTAAAGTGTCAAAATAAGCGGAGATGTGTATGGATCAACGTGTGAAAGCAAAAATCCGAAAACAGTTGCTTTTATGGGGGGTAAATAGGCCGCAACTCGCGACGTATCAAACAGTTGATACATGTCTTTTTCCTTACTTCTTTACATCAGCCGGGATATCTTTTTAAATACTGGTGTGATTTAAATGAATTTGGTATCAATTTAAAGTTAAAAGTTTAATCTTTAAAATGGTGCTACTTTTTTAGTTACTAACAAATTCGTTAGTACACAAGATCGCGTGGAAACAACTTCATGTAAGTGATTCCATACTTTTGCTCGCGAGTGTATTAATCCAAGTTTGTTTTTATTTGTATAGAGAACAATAGTGTCTAGACAAACCTAAAAAGGATTTAGGACGCTATTTGGATCAAATATGTAATTGCTCAATAATGAATAATAAATAAATAAATAAGTTTTTTATTAAATTATGTATCCCTTTCTACACATTATTGAAGTTTAGATGCTTACAAAGTTAATAAATAAAACATGAACATTATTTATTATAATAACTCTATATTGTCTACAAATATTCCAATCAGCTTCTCATAATGTCTAAAGTTACTGATAATGCGCCATAAAAACAATACAATCGGTCGACGATGTTAATAACACGAAAATAAATACATTTTAGCAATAACAGCTCTCACAGAATTCAGTTAATATGATTTCAGTTACTCAAATCCAAAACCTTTTCCTCAATATTTATTTATTATAAATGCAAAAATACAATTACTGGCTTAAATATATTATAACATTTTTAGAGGATTTCAGGTCCTCAGGTCAGTTGATTCCTTATCTAAGAGAGCCTTTTCTTTGATATGCATAAGTAACAAATTACAGGATTATATTATTCTGAATCATAGTAATGCATATGTCACCGTAAAATTGTGAATTCCGTCAGATTATAATCTGACATAGTTAAATTACAATCTAACCTAACCTAACCCACTGTTAGTTTACAATCTAACGCATTATATTATAAACTGACAGAGTTCACAATTTTACGTTGACACATATAAGTTCAGATGCCTCTTAGATTTTAGAAGACTTCAACTCTACAAGATCCAGGGCACCTTAATTCTCAAAATTAAACATGCAACTAATAGCAGTAACTTCAGACATGAGCAAATTAAGCCTTATAAGTATCCGTGTGTTTGTAATTGATCTTCTTGTCGATGCCGAGCAGCTGTCGGATGATGAACTCGGGCAGGCGCTTGTGGCGCCACCTGGTGGGCAGCGGCTTGTGGTTGGCCTTCTCCAGTTTCCCAGCGACGTACTTCTCGGCGGAGAACTCGTTGGCCTCCTTCACCATGGCGAGGAGTGAGTTCTGGAAGATCTTTTCTTTGACTTGACGCCTGCGCTGCTTTATCTGTAAGAATGATAGAGAAATAAACATTAGTATAAATAAGTGTTTTCGAACTGTCAAACTACCTATTTGTTTGAATTCGGTTCTAAAACTAAGCAAACTTGTTTTGAGGCAGATAGATAACCTTCCTGCTACAATACATTGTATGTATTTAGTAGAATAAATAGTAATAATAATAGTATATTCGGAGCCCAGACAAAGACTGTTGATGTTTCAAATGCATTGTTTTTGTGTTGTGGCTTTGCCTCATCAATAAAATTATGGTTAATAATAATATGTTAACCTACCTTACTTAGCATATCTATTTACTATTCAAAAATACATATTTAAAGTAAATAATCTAAATATAGTATTATTTAATTGACAAAAAGACATACCCTAGCCCAGCGATATCTCATTCTCTTCCACAGCTTCCTGCGCTTGTGCTTCTTCATCTTTTTCCTCCTAATGACAATAAGCCTGGTCGCTTGCTTCTCTTCATTGTTCAGTGCAGGGAGACCCACTTCATCCTTCCTCCAATTGGTATCAATTAACGGCAAAATCGACCGCGGATTAATTATGGGTATGTAAGGAATCGGGTCCTGCTTAGTTCTATCCACAACATTGCTCTCGGTGATCTCTACACCAATAGAACGAGGTGCAAAAGATAATGTCTTCGCCTTAGACAATAAGCAGGGTTTCTCCACTGGCAGCCGTCGCGGCTGACATTCTTTAACAGCATTTAAAGCTGTCTTGATGTTTATCAGCCGCAGATCTGGAATCATTTAGGAAATTAGGTTATTTTATCACAGAATTCACGATTACCGAATAAATTCATAACCTCAAAATAAAACTTACATTTGACTGTGTTATGAATGGAGTTCATCATCATGAATCCCGTAAAAGCAAAATTAACTAAGACATATCAAGTTTATGGGCGTATTTTATGTAAAAATAATAAATTGTTTAAAATTTTACGCATACAGAAAATTGATGAACTTTTTTTTGACAGTTCATGACAGTTGACAATATTAGTGATGTGCACGTGATGTAAATGAACACGATTCGATTAGCAATTGAATGAGAAAAAGTGTTCAATTGTAAGAATAAGAGATTAGTAGCCGAACAGAGCCCCGATTACGGTAACTTTTAACGTTTCCAATCCAGACGCGCTTCATCGATTCTGCGATACGATTGGTCAAAACAGCTGACGTACGCTGTTGAACGACCAATCGTATCGCAGAATCGAGAAGCGTGTCTGGATTGGAGACGTTAAAAATTACCGTAATCGGGGCTCAGGGCGCCTAGAAGAACGCTGCTTTTCAGGCAGCCTATAAATAAAACTATATATAGAATCTAATGCTGGGCATATTACTAACTCACGCAATTTCGTTTAAAAGGCTACAGGCGCTTACAAAGTTTTAATTTTGATTGTCTTCTAGTGTTGTCTTGTTGGCTGTCCTATTAAATAAATAAAATAAAATAATTTAATCCATTCATGGAGCCAAGCAACTTTTTTTTTTAAAAAAAAACGCCGGAGCCAAGTAAGGCCCTTCCACCAAAGCGGAGCGGAGAAATCTCTCCGCTCCGCCGCCGCTGTCAAATTCTATAGAAAAATTTGACGACCCGACATTTCTCCGCTCTGCTCCGTTTTGGTGGAAACCGGGGGAACTTGTCTAGGAAGAGATCCCACCTCAATGTCCATTATGACAAAAGAATAGGATAAAGAATAGGAAGGACTTTAGGAAACAAAAATAATGACAAAGGTTTCGGTTAGCGATTCATTTTATTAAACTGTCATAAAAATATATAAATAATAGTAATAATTTAAAAACCACATAATAACTCTCGCCCTTCCGGTACTGCGCCTATGTCACCCACCACCGCCACTGACATACATCTACCTGAAAACGTATAGAGGGTAATGAGTAATAAATGAAAAAAGCCCAATGCCAGCCAGCAACAACTATGGCGATCCACTAGCAGTAGAAGTCAATTTTATGGTTGCTCACGCAAGCAAGTCTTCGAAAAATTCAATTACATGTAAAGACAGAAGTAATATTCTAAATGGAGCAGGATTTCTAACAAAATTATATTCTAGATGACGATGAGACTCGTTTACTTAGTGATTTTCATTATTTTGTCCTTACTTTTACTGGACAGCACTTTAGCAGTCGCGCAGACCTCGTCCGCCGGTATGAGGTCGACCATGCACATGGAGTTCTTGGCGCTGTCGATCTGCATATTGTTAGCCACCTGCAGCGCCAGGCCCTCGCTCACCTTCACGCAGTCCTCGTCGTGGAGGGCAAGGCTTACCTCTGGGAAAAAAACATCATCAACAGGTCATTTATTTGCTATTACAGGACAAACACTACACTTCCCATCCCCATGCTAAGTCATAATATACATCCACGGGAAGAGTAGGATTGGTCCTATTTTACTTCGCCAAAACTACACGGCTAAAACGGAGAAAAAACATTTGAATAGGTAACTTGAAGAACTATGAAGTAGAATAAAATATCAGTCTTTCGATAGAGGATCATTTTCAGCGATAGAATAATTCGTTTGCATCAACCACGTAATAAGTTTGGAGGATACCCAAATAGTTAGTAACAAAACAAACATGTTTTGCAAACTGTGATGCTTGTTATTCAAATGGAAGGCGGAATAAGGAACAAAACAACACGTAGGTGTATCTAATATCAAAATATTTGCCCCGTTTATGAACCTTTCGTGTGCTATAGCGAGATAACGATCATCATAATAACAATCGCGTAATATTGGTTTTAATTGACGACTTTCCATTGCTATGTAGATAGATCCAAAAAAACAACTAACATCAGTTACCTAGTTGTTTGATAGGTTTTCCACGATAACTTGAACGGTTAAGTGCCACATTTGCTAAAAATAATATAATATGTGAGAATGAACGTAAGCTAGGTATATTAATTATACACTTAAAATAAGGATTTGGTTACCTTTTAAGTTTACCCAACATTCATTATGCACCATATTTCCTACGGGCCCTGTGATTGCGCACCATAAGATTATTCCTTATCACACATTGGTATCTATTGACTAGCAATGTGTCAATGATCTGCTGACAGCTAAATAATTTATATTGCTCAAAGAACTTACTAAGCCGCTTCTTGCCCACTTCAATCTGCTTGAAGTCCAGATCTCCGACATTCACCAGGAACTCTGCTGCGCACAGGGCCGCCTGCTTGGCCGTACACGACCGGGTCTTTGCTAGGACACCTGTTTTTGTTTAGAAGTTATTACATAGGCGTTACAGCAATCGATTCTGTTCCCTTTCGCATCCCTACGTTCCTTCACTCTATCCGGGAAACGGAAGAGAACGAAGACAAGAATGAAGATTCGAAAAAAAGCAGCTCATTCATTCATTCTTCCCATTTGTTGATTTTCTTCGCAACCGGTAGGTTATGAATATGAATGAGGTTAGAAATGGTAATATAGAAAATGCATTAACGTTACTTTACGTAAAATCCACTATATGTTTAACAGTCTACTAGAACCATCATTAGTCAGTATTCTAGTAATGTACACAAACGAGTAAGATAAATCAAGTTTGCCTAAAGTAGCCTAGGTATGTAACTAATGAGCTTAACCAGGGCTAGGGCCAACAGTCCCCACCATGGTATTGTTCAGTAGATTGGAGACATAATGGTTGCACTAACCAAAGATTCCTTGATCGAAATAGGACAAATTGAAGGCCTTGTAGTCGGTATAGATGTCGTTGCCGGCCATGAGCCCGAGCGGCGGCTGCTGCGTGCGGTCCATGTCGTGCTGGCCGAGCTGGATGTTGCCGGTGCCGCACGCCGCGGCTACTATCGAGTGCTTCAGCAGGCACCTGCCACAGGGGACACCATCGTTTCAGTCAAATGACGTCCACTGCTGGACAAGGCCCCCAACTAGGTGGACCGACGATCTGGTGAAGGTCGCGGGAAGTACCTGGAGGTGGGCGGGACCGGTTGTTATGGAAATCCTTGGGAGAGGCCTTTGTCCAGCAATGGACGTCATTTGGGACACCATAATGCCTGGACTTCATTCGTTCTTTTAAGTCAAATGACGTCCACTGGACAACGACCGGTCCTGCCCTGCCTTTTCCGCAACTTCATCAGATCGTTGGTCCTGATGCGACTATTGTTGTTAGTTGTAAAGAATTTAAAGCAAGCAATAAGAACTCCTCACGGATCTCGTCCTCGAACTCCTGGTTCCTCGCAATGGTCACCTATTGGTGATCAAAGTGAACTTCTTATCCATCCATGGATGATCAAAGGAAACCAAAGTGTTGCCTGGAGTCCACTTTGATCACCTGGGTGACCTATTCCGGGAGATATAAATGGAATAGACCTCGCTAATGTACTACTTAGTATTCCAGTGGTTTTTCCCGACCGAACTTGAGTTCGCGCTTAACGTTTGTGTTGTGAGTGCGTGTGTAGGCACACTCGCACGCACTGTGTAAAGCTAGGAGGTAATGTCAATGTCCCATGATAAGATAAGGGTCACACGCACGAGTAAAGAATTAATTCAGAAGGTTGTAAGCACTTTTAAGTCTAAGCAAATAAAGAAATTTTTACTTTATCTAAAATGAAGGTTTAAATGTAACGCCTAACAAATAATCATTTGTTGCTTCGTCACGCAGACTTTTCTTTATAAATACGTCACACCAGTGTAAGGCGCTAAGTAGGTACCTGCCTTCGTTCGTTCGTTCGTTTCAGCCAAATGACGTCCACTGCTGGACAAAGGCCTCCCCAAGGTTTTCCCACAATGAACGGTCTTGCGCTGCCCGCATCCAGGCTCTTCCTGCGACCTTAACCAATTCGACGGTCCACCTAGCCTGCCTACGCTACGTCTTCCAGCCCTTGGTCACCACTCGAGAACTGAAGTGAGAAGTACCTGCCTTTTTTAAGTAAGGAAGGATTGAGGGTTGTCCTTACGAGATGTCGCAGCTGCTGCAACCGGGCACAGCGAGCGCGATCCACGTGTCGCTTCCGGAGCCCAGGTCGTGGTACTCGTAGCCACTCTTGGGGAACGTGGGAAGAGTGCACGGGTCGGGAGGCCGCTCCTATGGTACATACGAACTAGTTAATCTAATCCCAGAGGCGGTTTTCCATCTTCGAATCATTATGAGATCCAATTCTGAAATTCAGACTTAAGTAAATGAAGGTTTTAAGTAAAACCCATCGTCATTTCAGCCACAGGACGTCCACTGCTGAACATAGGCCTTACCCAATAATGAAACTCTAGGATGTGGAAAAATACGATTGAAATTAATATTCACACCTTGAAACTCAAGTGGATAAAGTTCTGAAGCAAGAGAGCGTAAATTGGCACTATTTTATTGCGGACACCTAACTTAATCTTAGTTAAGTTTGAAATACTAACTCGTCTCAACTCGATCCTCTCAGCCATCCTAAGGGTTTCTTCAAACGGCACTCCGACACTGCCGACCGAGCATCGCACCGATATGAAGTTCGTCTGCGCGAAGCACTGCAGCGTTTCCTGCGACATGCCGCTTATTCGCTCGTCCTCGCAGAACACCGAATTAGCCAGAGGTCCCGCGAAGGCTGCGCGCTGGACCAAATCCATCACGATCTGCTCTGGATGCCGTCTCTCTAAGTCATCCCGGACTAATGGCTTTCGGTCGTCGATCTCCCATTGGTGGTAGCAACACCTTCAAAATTAAGGGTTTAAATAAAACTTCTGTGTTTCATCTGTACGTGTGCAGACTGCAAACTATGCAAACATTAGATCTCTTGATCTGTAACCGGTATTTAAATGGTACAGACAGAAATATGCTATTAAATTATTGAAAAAAAAAAGTTAAATTAGTAATGACAGAGGCCCACTCTTTAGTTCCCTTAGGTAAGGAAGCAAGTTCGAAACCCAATCACGTTAACTAATTTACCTTTGAGCGGCATCCAGCAAGACATTCTTCAGGTCCGGGAAGCAGGAGACGGGGCAGCGCAGCGTGTAGGCGATGGACTGGCGGTCGGAGGTGCAGGTGATGGCGGCGCCGCACTGCTGTAGGTAGCGCGCCTTCATGTACGCGGAGTAGCCGCAGCCCGAGCCCGAGGACAGTGCGCGGAGGAAGTGGCTGGCGCCGATCTGGTCGTCCCATTCGTAGCGGGAACCAGCCTTGCGCGGAAATTGGTGTTGATGAATCCAACTTTGACCATGGCAATCATAAATTATTCCCATATAGGTACAGGGTGGAAACGATAAGTGATCTCACCCGATTATTTCTAAACTACTTATACTACAAGATATCGAAAATATGGTTACCTACTGATTACTGACCCTGAAAGTGCTTCACGAGCTCTTTCAAACGGTACCAATAACAGGTTATAGGATAAACTGGAACTATCTGAAAATTCAATGTTTCACAGCTTCCGTTTGATAGAGCTCATGATGCACTTTCAGGATCAGTAACTAGTTTTTTGATATCTTGTATACTTAGTTTAGAAATAATCGAGTGAGATCACTCATCGTTTTCACCCTGTGACCAGACCTTGATACTATTAAAGGTGGTCTTCTAGAAAAAGGGAGCATTGAAACAACGGTGACTTATAGGTATTTAGCCCAGGGCAAAAGAAAACCACAGTGAGACAGCTAGGTTACATGTTAACTGCTATTGTTGGTCGTTGGAAGGTATCCTCACTAAATGGTAGCTCTGACAAATTGATATCTCTCAGATTTTCGTACCTATGCCCTGAAGTCGCGGATCCCTATCTAAAAGGCATGGCAATAAAGTGGTTTACCTGATACATGATAGTGCAAGCTCCGATCTGTGCGCCCAAAGGCTTCGCGGAGGCTACCTTGATGCCATTCATGAGGTCCGACCGCATCACCTCCATGGGCCCGTAGTCGGGCTTGGGCCAGCAAACCGTCCGGTCATTCCTGCTCACAGATAGCCGCCTGGCCAGGAATCTCTTGTAAACGGGGGCGGTTAATTTGAGTTTGAGCATAGTTTGACATGCGACATGTGTTCGGGTGACAGTTCGTGGTGTTTAGATAATTTGACAGCATGATTGGATAAGTTTTTCTTTTGTTACAAAAAGTATGACATGACTGACTTGGTACTTGTGGTGTTTCCTATATATTTTCATAATACTGATAATATTGGAAGGGTTTTGTCGAATAACCAAATTAAATATTGAATCCCCATCTTTGTTTTCAAAAATACTTACTCTAAGATCTTAATTTTATCACGAATAAATACTCTTAATTTAATCAGACAAATTCGGCGGTTATTAAAAGCCTTCAAAGCAACTTGTTATTCATAGCAAGTAAGTATTTATCTACTGCACTTGCACTTACATTTTTTACATGGTCAACAAAACTCGTCATTTGCGACGTACGTAACATTAGAGGTACGATTTAGGCTAGGTAGACTTGAAGATTCTGATTCGATTACACAAGGAAACTACGAGCATGTTATTAAATTGTAACTTAAAAATAAAAATTAACTACATCACGATCAATTACTTGGCTGAGTTGCACCAACTTAATTTAACCGTAAGTAGGTTTAAAATTAATAACCGATGATATTTGTATGGAATTTGACTTTTTTTGTCAAAGTTAATTAAGATAAGATGGTGCAACCCAGCCTTAGTCGATATTTTTATGAAGTGTGGTAGGTAGACGTATGGATGCGACCAACCAATTTAAATGCTAAAAACAATGACAACCTATAACTTTTATGGCGCGTAATATTTTATTATCACGTAGAAATACCTAGTAAGTATCCTTTAATAGATAAAATGTAGTGTTACCATAAATGTTTGTGAAAGTTGGAATAGACATTATTTACTATTAGAGGCTCTTTTAGGGGGTAAACTAAAAAAATGGCGAAAACCTTTCCCTGGTATAAGAGCAACATAATAGTTATTGCCAAAAACGTTTAAAGAAACCACTGCAGAGAACATTCTAAAGTTACTTCTAGGGTTTTTTAAACCTTGCTCAAAAAGAACGCGCAATCCATTAATCTTCACCGTACAGCCAATACCTTTAATTGTGATCATTTTTTAATACCCATATATTCATGAAAAAAAAAGTTAAAGCATAGTTTTAGTAACAAAAATAAGGTTCGTTCGTTCGTTTCAGCCAAATGACGTCGTCCACTGCTGGACAAAGGCCCCCCCTAAGGATTTCCATAACGACCGGTCCTGCGCTGCATCCAGGCTCTTGCCGTGACCTTCTCCAGATCGTCGGTCCATCTAGTGGGAGGCCTGCCCACGCTACGTCTTTCGAAAAATAAGGTTCAACATTTGTGACTGTATGGCATTTATTCAATTGGTTCTGCCTGTAAAAAAAACACGGACAAAAAAAGTATTTCATAAACGAGTAGGTATTAAGTATTTCTCAATATTAACAACTTTATTACTGTGCTGCGCGCTTACTGTCCAACTCGTTAACAACATTATAATATTTGCTATCACGAAATCTTGGTCACAGTTTCAGTTATTTGCGGGGGAGAAAACGTTGATTCTACGTAAGCTCTGTAAACATTTTAATATAAAAAGATCATAAACAGGTGATATAACACTGCTAGTGATATTTCCGCAACAGGTACTTATACTAGGAGGAACGAAGAAAATCTCATTAGCGCTGCGCATTGTTCCAAAGCAACACACGACAATGGAAAAGCAATACAGTGATGGCTTGGACTACCCAAAGGAACTGGACAATAACGACAGATTGGGACACTTCAGACAACGGTTCTTTTTGAAGAAAGGAGTGATTTACATGTGTGGCAACTCCTTAGGGCTCGCCTCGAAGGACGCAGAAGCCATAATATTAACTCTGCTGGACAAGTGGAAGGACCACGGCGTGAAGATCTGGAACGTTGACAACGGAAAATACTACATGTACTCCGAATGCCTTGCCAAGCTGATGGCGCCTTTAGTCGGGGCTGAAAAGGATGAAATCGCCTTCGCTGGGAGCACCACCACCAACATCCACCAAGCTGTTAGTACTCTTTACAAGCCCACTAAAGATAGATACAAAATTTTAGTAGACGACATTAACTTCCCAACAGATCGATACGCAATTGACAGTCAGGTCAGATTGAAAGGGTACGATCCCAAAGACGCTGTGAAAGTTGTTAAAAGTGTTGAAGGCAAGTTTTTGAACGAAGATCATGTCATCGAAGCTATGACTGAAGATGTGGCACTGATTCTGCTGCCGACCGTCTATTACAGGACGGCCCAAGTGGTAGACATGGCGAAGATAACAGCCGCCGCAAAGAAAAGAGGAATAATTATTGGCTGGGATTTGAGTCACGCTGTGGGCGCTGTTGAAGTGGATCTGAAGTCTCTGGACGCTGATTTCGCTGTGTGGTGTACGTACAAGTACTTGAACGGTGGTCCTGGAGCGACTTCGGCTCTGTACGTGAACCGGCGGCACTTCCAGAAGGTTCCCGGATTGGCTGGGTGGTTCGGTAACAGGCACGAGACGCAGTTTCTTCTGCGGCAGGAGTTCGACCATCAGCCGGACGCCAGCGGTTGGCAGATCGGCACGCCCTCGCTGTTGGCCATGGCAGGCTTGGAGGCTTCATTGACCATGTTCAACGAAGCGGGCATGAGCAAAATTCGGGCGAAGTCGTTGCATATCACTGGTTATTTGATGTACCTTATTGAGAAGAAGCTTGTGGAGCACGGGTTTACGATAGGGAATAACAAAGAGGACAGTAAGAGAGGTGGCCACGTGTGTTTGGAGCACGACGAGGGGTACCGAATCAGCCTGGCCTTGAAGGCGCGTGGAGTGGTGCCGGACTTCAGGGATCCCAACGTGATCCGCCTGACCCCCACGGCTTTGTACACAAGTTACGCCGAGGTATACAATGTGGTGGATATTTTATTGGACATTATCAAAACTGAGAGTTACAAACAATTTAGTGTTAAGAGAAACTTGGTTGTATAACATTATGTACCTATGATTTTTTTTATCATTTAACAAGTGTAAAGCTTTAAGGTATAAAAATAATACTTATTTTATGTGATAGAGCAAAACAAAGCAATTAATATAATTAAATCATCATCAAATAGCTTTAAGTTGTTGTTCTTGCGAGGTTAAGTTTGATTATGTAATAAGGTTTATAATAAACGGTAACCGAGGGAGGTTAAAATGAAAACAGCAAATATTTTGGTTTTCGTTATATTTTAATTTGAAAATAGGCTTATACTATTTAACTCCAGCTGCAATGTGATTATAACTTAAATTCTTTCAATTTATCTCACTATTATCCAACGCATCTATTTAGACAGGTTTCTGATTTTGCTTTACGCACATCCAGTGCATTCCATTTCTCTCGCTGACATATACCTTCGAAACTATTATTTATTTTGCATCCAAAAGTGGTGAACCTTCGGAAAAAGCTTGGCTCTCAGAACCAAGACCTAATTTTGAAGGAAAAAACTAAACTGGATGCGAATATCACAAAATGCTTTTCTAATTCAGACACATAATTATTACACTATAATCACACCACAACTTTACATTTTATAAATAAAAAAATAATTATTATATAATAATATTGTAACAAATGTCAAAACGTCAATTTCAGCGTAGACCGACCGAAATATAAAATTCTGCTATTAAAAAAGAATCTAACAATGTTTTTTTGTGTAATTTTTCGTACTTACAACTTAGATGGACATAGCAAGGAAACCTAATATATTTAGACCTTAAACATTAAACATCTCTTCTATTTATTATTTACAGTAATTTACATCACAAGAGTAATGTTGTATGGTGGTCACAGCGATACAACATTGTTTTTTATATTATTTTTGCAATTATTCTAACGTAAGGAACTACAAGTAAGATCACGAGTCTGAAAACATCTTTCTTACAAAATAATACACAAATAGACATTTCGTATATTAGATTTCAGTGTCAAAATCATCCGAGTGTTCAACTATTACTGTCTGTTTATGATACTGAAATGTAATATACCGTAATCAACCAAGTTGGCACGTATTTTTCGAAATGCTATGACCTGAAGAAACTTGAATGTAATAAAAAAATAAGAATGAAGTTTTCTGTGAATAAAATTACAGATTTTCTGAAAAGTGATCTTTTTGTTTAACAAATCAATCCATTTTCATTTATGTAGTGCTAATTCTAGTAACACAATATTCACAATAAAGTGCGCGGTTTTTTTAAATATGTTTTGTCGTGATATTTTTAATTAACACTAACGACAACTAAAAATGCACGATAAATCTATACACAAACAGTTCACTATCGCTGACGCTGAAATAGTCACAGTATCTGCACACTTTAGTGCTTATCGTGCATTTAATGTCAGCTATCAGCCAGGAACTACAATGCACGTAATGTACTCGATTATAAAGACGATCAGTCTATAGCAAATATTGTACTTGGACAACAGAGGATTTGAATAAAAACCACACAAATTCCGTGCTCAATTTCATACCTCACGCTACTAATTTATTATTTTTTAAAACAACGCAAAACAATTTCGATTAGTTTCAAAAGAAAACACTATTTAATTTTGCAGTTGTTACAAATTATTTTAGTAGCACACGCGTCTATAGATTACTGAAGATAAAGTAACGCCAAGTCTGAAATTTTGACCGACAACTAGCGTCGCCAGTCTTCAAAACTAATGATTTCCCATTTTTATAAAGCGGAACAGATAATAGACTGCTCACAAAAAAGCCAAAAGTCTCCATAATCTTATCTCTACGATCTCAATTTGAACTTTAATTTCCAGATGTTTGTTTTACTTTGCCATAGCACCGCATATTTTTGAAAATGTTTTTGTGTATTTCGTACCTTGCAGTTCATTTCATTTTCGTATTCAGTTACGCCTTCAAATGGCTGATTGTCTATTACGCTGATAATGCTGCTCAAAGACATCAAGTTCTCCAAAGGGCCAACATCGAAATCTCAATAAAAGCACTTTTTGCTCAACACCTACGCTATAAGACTGTTCAGTCATGGGCATTAAAATGTAAATTCACTATGCATCATCTACAAAGCAAACTGAACCTTACCCATGACTGTATAAAGGTATTTTTGTTGAGATTTAAATAAGGATAGTCCCGGCAGGTTGGGAAGTGGCTCCGCAAAGGTTAAGTGGTACCTTTGGGGCGTGGGCCGGCGGATCGGTTGAGCACAGAAGCGCGCGTCGCTCGCTGCCACCATACTCCTACTCGCTCACAGCGCATACTGAGTGACAGATGGTTGTGACACGCCAGTCTCGACTCTCTGCGGAAGATAATAAGGAATTAGTTATCGATTTTTTTTTATTACACGTGTGAAATTTCTGTTGCTAAGATCCTACGTATTAACTAGCATGCGTCCGTGCGAGTATTAAGGCGATTAGAGTCCTCAATGACCTTGAGCGTTTGACCTTCACGCTTCGCACAACACCCGCGCACCCCGCACGAAAACTCCGATTTGACACCGATCAAAAATACACGGGCATAGGTAGGTACAGAATAGAAGCTCTTTCTTCATACATTACTGCCTATTATTTTAAACTTGAATTGATGAACCTTGATGTCGATGTCATTCAACGCAGGCGCAAGTGATCGCCCGAAATGTTCTAAACTAGCGCACCGTATAGTAAGGTATTTATATTTAACAAAAATTACAAATCCATGAACATTTTGTATGGGATAATATTTTTTATTTTATTTTATTTAGCTTATAATGTATGTTGTGTGTAAACTATGTTTGTTCGGGTGGAATTTTGCAAGCTGAATTAGTTAGATCCATTTCCTGACGACAACCGATTGAGTTAAAATTTCGGATACACATGCAATTCGGATGACAATGCAATATTATGATGACATGGAGCTGATCTGATGATAGAGCTGGAAAGTCAGTGACCCCATAGGAACTCCGGAATAAAACGACTCCATCGAGTTGAGGCTCGTTTGATTTGTATTTATTTATTTACATTAGGGTTTACATAGTTACGGTAAACTACTTTACAAATCATATCCTTGAATTTTGGGACACGTTGTATAATAGAAAAAGACACGTTCCAAATTAGTGAAGGAATGTTAGATAGATACTTACATCACTGCATTCATTTTCAAAGCTCTCATGGCCGCATATTTCATCGAACCATTTTCATAAACTCAATCAGATGTCGTTATTTATGTCGGTATATGCGCGAAATAAAGACTTTGTTTTACGTATTATTGCATACTTATCATCTTTTATCTGAGCTTTTATCTCAAGAATAAAATTGTCATTTTGACAAAATATTTCCCATACGGAGACTGTCAATAGGCCAATTTTATTCT